TAAGTTGAAATTCCTCTATCACTAAGATTAACTTTAGAATTTTAGTTACATCGAAATTCAATAAATAATCCCATTTCTTTGAAAACAAACAAGGTAATTATATTTGCATGTCATTCCATATTTCTTCTTAAAAATATTAGCATTATACCTTTTATGCTAAGGAATAAAAGGAGTAAACTTATACCTATTCTATTGTCTGGGTATCAAAGTCTTTACCAGTATAAGAATTTAGATTCTTAAATATTTATTAAATTATGATGTTCAGCCATTCCATTTCCTATATTCACAATGCTAAGACTCAAGATGTATTTAATCAAAGCTGAGACAACATGATTAGACATTGCTAGACTCTATTTTGTACCATTCTTGAATCAGTACCACCCTATTTTAATTACTATAGTTTTATAAAAAATCTTGGTATTTGGTAGGGTAAATTACCCTTCTTTCTTCTTTTTCAAAACTCTCTTGAACATTTTTTATTTTTTCCCAAACAGGATCAAACATCTAAAAAGGGTACTCTGCTCAGATATTTTTCATATGCTTCTTCTGTATCACTTGAGTTTACATTAAAGGACAATGAGTTTTCATTCATCTCTGTAGGCTCCCTTAGAGTCTAGCTTTCTTTTGAATTGAAGGTACTATTCTGGATATAGAAGTGTAGTCCACTATAGTTATTTAAACCTCTCAAAAATAACAATAATTTTTTTCCAGAGAGAAATAGATCACACAAGATTTCTTACCTGCAGCTCAGCTTAAACTGCTTAATAATGTTGCTGATTTTCTCAAATCGGTGGGCATCACGCTGCTCTTTACACTGATAGTGAGAAATCACCTATGAAAAAGAATAATGCCCTTTATTTATTTCATTTTACTTTTTTGCAATTTTTATTAATTTATTTTTGTTACCGATGTTTCTCCTTTTTTCCCCCCTTAGATCTATGTAATGTAGTCATATCACCCACAGCTACTCCTCTAGGCAGGTGTCTGTCCGTCTCTTGGTCACCTGATTTTCAGGGCAGACTTGGCACCTGGCTTATTATCTGTTTTCCAGTCCCATATGCTGCCACCATCATGCATAATTTCAACATCCTTATGGATGACCTATCCAGTACCGTTTGGTTATAATTTTATTAGATCATTTAAGTATTATCTATTTTGGTTTGTTTCTGTTCCTTATCACTTACTTTAATTATTAAATATTAATCTTATTTCAATATTTCACAGGATGGTTTTAAAAAAAAACAGTACAAATCAAAAAGGAAAAATAAAAATTCTTAGCTGTCCTTGAGATACATTTAATGTATTTAATTTTACTAAAGCCTATAATCAAGGGCTTTTGGTATTTTATTCAAAAATCTTTTTTATATTCTTTTTTATTTTTATTTTTATTTAATTATGTTTGTTACAAATGTTTCTCCTTTTTCCCCTACTGGTAACCCCCTCCCCAACCCTTCTCACCCTGTCCTCAACTTTGTCGTCCATGTCCACTGTTCATGCATACATGCATATAAGTTCTGTGGTTTATCTCCCCCCACCTCCTCTTCTGGGTATTGTCAGTCTGTACCCCACTTCCACGTCTCTGGGACTACCGCGTTCCTCAGACTGTTATGTTCATTATATTCCACAAATAAGTGAGATCATGTGATATTTGTCTTTCTCTGCTTGGCTTGTTTCGCTTAGGATAATACTCTCCAGGTCCCTCCATGTCGTCTCTAAGGATAAGAGATCTTTCTTTCTTACAGCTGCATAGTACTCCATTGTGTATATGTACCACTGCTTTTTTATCCATTTGTCTACTGATGGACATTTGAGCTGTTTCCAGATGTTAGCTATTGTAAATAGTGCTGCTACAAACATGGGGGTACATATATTCTTTCTGATTGGTGTTTCAGGCTTCTTAGGGTATATTCCTAGAAGTGGGATCATTGGGTCAACTGGCAGTTCAATTTTTAATTTTGTAAGGCAACACTATACTGTTTTCCATAGTGGCTGCACCAGTCTGCATTCCCACCAGCAGTGTACTAGAGTCCCCTTTTCTCCACACCCTCACCAACACTTGTTGTTTGATGATTTGTTGATGGCGGCCATTCTGACAGGTGTGAGGTGATACCTCATTGTTGTTTTAATTTGCATCTCTCTGATGATTAGTGATGTAGACCATTTCTTCATATGTCTCTTGGCCATTTGTATGTCCTGTTTGGAGAGGTGTCTATTTAGTTCCTCTGCCCATTTTTTAACAAGGTTCTTTGTCTTCCTTTTGTTGAGCTCTATGAGCACTCTATGTATATTGGAAATTAACCCCTTTATATTTTAACTAAATTATTCTAACCTCTGAGCACTATTTTATAAAAGAACCTATTCAGAATGGACACACACACCAGGTAAAAATACTTTCCCTCACACTTTCAGATAGTAATCAAACCAGACAAGAATTCCCCATAGGCTGAATATACAGATGTAAAATTTTCTAGGAGGAGGCAAAACTGAGTCACTCACCACCACCATGATATAGATATTATTGTCTCCATTGTATTTTATTTATTTTTTTAATCCTCGCCCGAGGATATTTTTCCATTTTTATTCAGATAGAGTGGGAGCGACAGAGAGAAACACTGATGTGAGAGGGACACATCGAGTGGTTGCCTCCCGCACGACCCTAATCAGGGCCGGGGACAAATCGCAGCCGAGGTATGTGCCCTTGACCAGACTAGAACCCGCAACTCATTGGTCCGCAGGCCAACACTCTAACCGCTGAGCCAAACCGGCCAGGGCTATTGTCTCCATTTTAGAGAAGGGGAACCAAGCTCAAAAAGATTAAGATGTGTGTCTAAAAATCACCAAATACTGCAGAGCTCAGAAACAAATTATTTATTGTCAGCTGAGCTTAAGAGTTACATTTACTTAGCTAATCAGCAATTATTTATGCAGTGCTTTGTGACATTTCACATTAGTTTCTATTACTGTTATTTAAAAATTCTACTTATAATATTGGTTTTTGATCCCCTCTCAGGGCCATACATACAGTAGGTTCCAATATAGTTAAGTGGAAATTATAACAAAAATTAAAATACCAACATGCCTCTTTTCCCTTCTACCTCTCCATCTGAACTCTTAGCTATGTCAGTGAGTTGGCCATTACATCTGTTCCACGTTAAAGGTTTTCAACTCAGTCTTTTGGAGAAAGGAGTGGGATGCAAGTTTCCTCAAAAGGGAAATAACCCTCAATTCTTAATAACATTCAATAGGAAACAGGGATACTTCAACACAAATGAGCAATGATTTTCAGAAATAATCTATACTCTGTAGTAAGACATACCTACAAAAATCTAGGTTTTACTAACTACTAACGAGCTACAAACCAAAGGGTTTCTTCCAGGTCAGTTACTGACAATACTACTTTATAAATAAGGCTGTGCATGCTAACATAATGACAAGAGGAAAGAAGGTTCTTCCTGCAAGTAGCAACATGTTGTTCTCTATTGCTGAATAAAAGAAGGTAAGTGTGAAGTATATTTGCAGAGCAGAAAGTTCTCACCAGAAAAGTAGCTCTTTCAAATAGAAGCACTTCATCAGCCTCGATAATTTCAGCAAAATTCCTTAGGTTCATTTCTAGCTGCTGAACATTGGGAATCAGCTGATAAACAATGCTGGACCAAGCCTAACAGAACAGAAGCACAGTGTAATATTACTAACAGGTAGCCAGTCCCAGACCTTTGAAAATGAGTAAGTACACTACAACATATAGACAGAAAATTATGGTGATAATTGAGTCCAAAATACGGATAACACATATTATATAAAACAAATGAGACAGCAAAACTAATATTTGATATTAATCCTTCAGTTAGGAGTTTTTAAAAATTTCAAACACTTTTGTAAAATGCTGGAGAAACCTTTTCCCATTGATAACTAAGAATAAAAAATAACTTAATTCCATCATGTTATCTTAGGAAAAGTTGAAAACTGATCTACTATTGAGCTAAAAAGCTTCTTATCCTGTCCTTCAACAAATATTTAAATCCAACAGTATAGACTGCACTAAAAATCAGAACCTAATAATGCCATATTTAACATACATCTAAGAATCAGTTTTGTGAAAAATGTCAGAGCCACATAAACAAATGGTCCCTCCCCTCAATGGGATAACATACAAGAGAAATTAGTGGCATTATCATTCCAAAAGGCTTATTTTCAGCTGTATAAATGATTGAATTTAAAATGGTACACTATGTGTATGCCTACAACTGACTTCATCTAGAGGAGAATGATTAATGAAATGAGCTGAAATTAACCACACCCTCCCTCTATTCTCTTAAGGCTCTTTTATTTGAATTCCATTATAATACGTCCTTCAATCTCACTCTAATTTTGTAAAGTGTATAATGTTCTTCTCTCCTCTACTAGAGAGCAGGACCTGGTCTTAGTCATTTGTGTGTCCTACAGTATCAAGCATATATGTGATGAGTGCTTGTAGAATAAAACTTAATATAAGAATTTAAGTTAGCTCTATGCAACATTTACGTAAGAGATAGTAGTGCCATGTCTCTGTTCCAATTAGTTTTATTACTTAGGCATGGGGTTTCAGGTTCCAAGTTCCCAGGTCGGTGTTAATGTCACTGCTGAATTTACCTTGGAGAAGACACCAAAGCTAACCACAGCAGAGACATTGTCACTCACAGCAGTGTTGTGATTAGCCAATTGTCTTTGGTCCTGTTATATATTGCCATCCTTCACACCGCAGTTGGTTCTTATCAGTGCGTCATGTCCATCCTTATTCACGGTTACCTGTTCTATGGGAATAAGGCTTTGAGAGAAATTCGTCCCAAATTAATCTAGAACAGTATTTCCTAGACAGGTATCTCAAAAATGATCTGTTATTCGAGTGAGGCTGGGTCAACATAATATTGGGGGGAAATGAATTAGTTTTAAAAAATAAAGCAGTGGCTATTTTTAAAGTCCAATGGTTTTGTTCTTGGTAAATCAGGTTTCTGTGCTTCTAGTTGTAGATACTTGTTGGATGCCGTTGATACTGAGGCTGTAGCTACCAGTGACAGAGAAGGATGTTTTCCTACCCAGAGTCAGACTTGTCAATAGATACCAGAAGCAGTCTGAAGGAAAGGTCTGACCACAGGAGGACGCCAAGGAGCCAGTCTTTCAAATCACTGGATCAGTAGGAGAAAGGGAGGAAGCAGGATAAGGAACCTATGTGCCAATAAGGTAATTTCAGCTTTATCCATAACACAGCTATTGTTGTAACCTCTACAACTACTGCAAGCAGTGTGGTATCCATTCCAGCAATGGGAACAATCTTTCTGGTTAAAAGAATGCTAGTCTCCAATTGGCATGAAAGTGGAAGCTACCAAATTCTAGGCATCTGTCTCATTCTAAGACTGTTTTCCAATCTCTCCCTTAAATATTGTTCGCCTATTGCCATCCAAACTTAGGCAGGCAAGCATATATCCTATAGAAGTAGCTGAATAGTAGACACAGCTCCAATCAGCACTGAGACTACAACAGATCAAAATGGATGACAGCCAGTGAAACCTCAGCTGTCATAAAGATCAATCAAATTAATCATAACCAAACTGGCTAATTCAGTGTGGTTGGTAGGTATGTCAACCCCAATCTAAGATGACTAAGAGTTTAAAATCTTCTAGTTTTGATAATACCCTTCTTGCTTTTTTCATGCTCTAAAATGAGAGAATTCAGAGAAATATACACACCTTATAGAGAGTTTCATCCCAGATAGATGTCCGGAAACAAGAACATTCCAATGGTCGAGACAAACGCCTCAGATCTTCTTCTCGTTCTTTAAATATCTGAATTAAAAAGTCCAACATACTGATCAGGATATACAGCTCTCCTCTTCCTTTGCAATATCTGAGATATAATTATTTCAGCATGTTTTAAACAGAACATATTTCCTCTTTCCTCATAGGAATTTTTCAATGAGTACATTACTTTAGAAACTAGGATGGCAGAAATATTTTCAGGTCAGGTCTAAAAGTGCAAAAGCTACTAGAATTTTTCAGGCCCATGGTGGTTATGCTTAGTACTCACTAAGAACACTATGTTAAAAAATAAAATTTATTGCCCAGCTGGTGTGGCTCAATGGGTTGAGCATCGACCCATGGACTGAGAGGTCCTGGTTCAATTCTAGGTCAGGGCAATTCCCAAGTTGTGGGCTTGATCCCCAGTAGGGGGCATGCAGGAGGCAGCAGATCAATGTTTCTCTCTCACATTGATGTTTCTATCTCTCTTTCCCCCTTCATTTCTCTCTTAAAAAAATCAATGAAAACATATTTTAAAAAATAAAATGTACCATATAGAGGAGTCTTAAAAAAAAATACATCTAACATTCTAATTTACCCAATCTGGATAATTTTAAAATCACTATCCCATATCAAACTTTGTAAATCAAAATACTTTAACCTTTGTAGATATCTTTTTCTCATGCATACATATATGAACACACTCTTATATATTATTTCTGTATGGACTGTATTTATTTGGTTATATAGATATAACACCCCCACACACAAAAATCTATTCATCATATGTATCTATGTATGTGCCCACAAACATATGAAAAATATCTATTTATACAAATACACACACACACACACACAACTCTCTCTCTTTTTTTTTTTTTTTTTTTTGGTTAATCCTCACCTGAGGATCTTTTTCCATTGATTTTTAGAGAGTAGAAAGAAGGGAGGGGGAGAGAGGAAGAGAGAAGAGGAGAGAGTGAGAAAGAGAGAGAAACACAGATATGAGAGAGACACATCAATTGGTTGCCTCCCACACAACCCTGACTGGGGCCGGGGATCGAACCTGCAACCCAGGTACATTGCCCTTTGACTGGAATTGAACCTGTGATTCTTCAGTCCTTGGGCTGATGCGCTAACTGCTGAGCCAAACCAGCCAGGGCCACACACACACATATTTTCACATTTTCCATGAATGGGTGAGTGTGTAGAGGGGGCATGTATACATTTTTCTCTCTTTTTTTCTTTTTTCTCAATCCCATCTCCCCTCAAGCCTCCCAACCCACCCCTCCTCATGGTAGTTAATTTTATGTATCAACTTGGCTAGGCCACGGTACCCAGACATTTGGTCAAACACCAGTTAAGATGTTGTTGGTGAAGATTTTTTTTAGATGAGATTATTTACATCAGTAGACTTAAAGCAGATTCCCCTGCATGATGTGTGTGGGCTTTATGCAATCAGTTGAAGGCCTTAAGAGAGAATTCTGCCTCTATACTGTCTTCTGACTCAAGCTGCAACATCTACTCTTCCCTGTACCTTTAGCCTTTAGGCCTGCCCCGAAGATCGCAGACGTGCCAGTCTCCACAATTGTTATGAGTCAATTCCTTAAAATTCATCAATCAATTAATCTCTCCACATCCCTTCCCTCTGTCTGTCTAGGTATCTATCTACACACACACACATACACACTTATTATTGGTTCTGTTTCTTTAAGGAATCCTGATTAATACACAGAAACATGTATCTTACTTGAAATTGATATTTAGGGAAGCACCCTAGCCATTTTTACTTTGAAACTTCCAAGTCTGACTGAATCTTTAATGAAATTGAATATAGCTTTCTTAACTAAATTTAAAATCCCACAAAGAACATTAATGTGTCTTTGGAGATATTTATATAAGCATTTAGAAAATAATAGGTTGATCACTAAAAATCTGAATTAAAAAAATCCATAAGGAGATCATTTGTTGGAATGCTCTAGGTTTTTCTATTACAAATTGGGCCAGGAAATGAAGTGATTTTTTTAAAGGAAACAAAACAGAAAACAAACAATAGCAAGAATAACAATAACAAAATCCTCACAATCTCAATCCCCAGGCTACACGCAGTATTTTCTGCTGAACTAAAACAGAATTAAAACTTAGTAAGGGAGAAGGGAGTAAAAAGATTAGATAGTCAAAGTAGTTTTCAAAATCAATTATGCATATATGTGTAAACAAGGACATAGACAATAATGCTGGGGTGGGGCAGGATTGGGAGGAAGGTGTCAATGGGGGGAAAAAAGAAATATCTGTAACAATAATAAATAAATTTTAAAAAATACCTAGGAAATATAAAAAATAAATCAATCAAATACAAAATTCTGTCCAGTGGTTTTTGAAAACCTATAAGCTAACCTAGAAACACAAAAACACAGCCAAATACTGGAATACTGGAGGCAATCCAATAACTAGTTATGGGGAAAAAAGTATTCCTGACCACAGCTATTACCAAAAAATATTTTAGTTAAATAAAAGGTATCCTTAGACTCCTAGGCTCCAACCCAAAGAGGAATTGTATTCTTCTACATCACTGGCATATTCTAAAACTACTTTCCTCAAGTCCATCCTTGGAAATAGAGGATCTTCTCTTTCAACTTAGACTTTAAAATCCAATCCTCCTTTTTTATATTGGGCAAACTAAAGCTAGACTATATTAGCAACTTGTCAATCTTGGGGGGTGGGGGTCTCATAGCTAGCTGGGAGTTTGCCCTTTCTACTATGTCTCTGCTGGTTTAAATTTACATGTACTAACTCCCATGCTAGAAAAGAAGATACATATACCATATGAGTGCAGTGATAAGGGACTTGGTATTCCTACCACAGTGTGACTGGCACTTGAACTGGTGCATACCAGTTTCCTAAGTCAATCTAATGATAGCTGTGACCTTTCCTCACTTCATCTCTGGTGGATCTTCTAGCCTTGACAGTAACTGCCTGCTCTAAGAACAGTAAAACGGGAAGCACACATATTTTAAAACTATATAAAGGCTGTTTAGTGATATTACATGGTCAGATTCCTTACCTAAACCTGAAAATTATTAAATGAATACTATCTTTCCCTTACCATGAACAATTCATTTATGAGCATTAAAAAAAATGACAGAACTTTATTTTGAAAGCTTAGGTGGAGATTTTTTTGCCCTGAAAAAAGAATAGCACAAATGTACCTATACCTCTACAAAAGAAGTTTACAAAGCATGTCTACCGTTTGCTGTAGCACCCTTTCTGTTTCTTACCAGGTCCCGTTGATCCTCCTGTACCAGATCCATTTTGTGCACCAAGCAAAAGATTTTGGCGTCTGGAGAGTTCTGCAGAATGGCCTCCAGGCATGATTGGTAATAGTGCATGTCCTTTTCCAGTTCACGGCTCTCCACATCAAAGACATAAATCAGAACCTCCACATTTCGGAAGATGTTGTCTCGTTGGCTAGTGAAGTAATTTTCCATGAAGGTGTCCTGCCTATTAGGAAAAAAATAAGCAAGTCCTCTGTTCAGTCACTTCTACTTATGATCTATCTTATGTGAAAGAATCTTATGTCCTCAAATTAAATGGCAAATAACAGCAAATCAGTCTGGCCTCAACTTCTTACTTCTTAAGCCTTGCACCATCCTGTGCCCCTCTTCTTGTGTTCCAAACACGCTTTGACCTGCCCGTGGTTCTAGTGGCCCATGGTCTACTCACCAAGGGGCCTTTACACATGCTGTTCATTGTCTCATATGGCCCTACCTCTACATCTCATCAACTCCTACTTGTCCCTTCAGACTTCAGTTCAATCCATACTTCCTCACAAAACCATCCCTGACCTCCCTGATGGACAAATCTAGTCACCATAGCCCTTATACCAATACACTGCTCTTCTTTTTAATATTTACAAGTGTGATATTACACATTTGCATGAGCTTTTAATTAATGGCATTCACTTCCCTAAATAGAAAGTTCCATGAAGGCAAGAAACATGTCTGTTACTGTTCCCCATTGTTTCCCAGCTTTTAGCATAGACCCCGCCACAGAACAGGTGCCCGTGAATATTTACTGATGAATAACTAGTCAAATACTCTAAACTATATGAAAATGACTCCAAGATAACTTTTTAGCAGAATTCTGCTCTTCGTTCCTGAGGCTGTGTGCTGCTTCCCAAGAAGATCTCAATTATCAGAAGCCTAGCAAAAAAACCCAAAATTTTGTTATAAAAAAAATCATGAACCTAGTTTCCAGTCCTGCACTTTGCTATTATGAAATGGCTATATGACCTTAGGAGATAGATAATCTTACTGGACCACAGCTGCTTTATGTGTAAAAATGACAATAACATCTTATTGCCTAAAAGTAAAAGACTTAGACTAATCTTTACACAGATTACAGAATCGGAAGCAATGATAATGAGGAACGATTTTTTGGAGAAATCTGCTAGGGTGTTAAGTGATCCGTTAGCATTAAAGGAATCATTTTCATATGGAATATTTGGCTATTTTGTTATTTTTTCAACAAATACTCACTGAGCACCTATTCCATGGCTGGTTCTATGCTAGGAGCTAGGAAACACTGAGTTAACAATATCTATTTATTTTGTGAAGCACTGGGCTACGCACTTTTTATATATCATCTTATTTAATCATCAAAACAATTCTATGGGTTGGCACCATCATTATCCCCATTGTACAGATGAAGAAACTGTGGCTCAGAGAGTTTAAATGATCAATCCAAGATAATACAACTAACAGGTCTGAGATATAAACTCTAATGTAACTCCAGAGCCTAGGCTCCTAACCACAACACTACACACTGCTGCTTCAACACGAAGATGCAAATGGTCATAAGGTAGGGAGTAACACCAGCATATAATCACAGTGAATGTTTGTTTGTGAAGGGATATTCCAGAACTGCGTTGGCCATTAAAGAAAAGACTGTCTCCTCCTTTGACAGAGGAAGATATGTGCTCAAGTCTTATGTATACTGCTTAGACTGCTGGAGATAATTAATACATAAAAGTCAGAGATCTTTATTTAATCAAATGCCAATTCTAAAGAAATTTTGATCCAATGTATCTATTATGGATGGCAGTTACTCTAGTGCATTCTCTATGCTGACTATACTAGATGCCATGCTTACTGCCACTAGCCTCACAAACAAGTAATCAGATGGTACTTACCCACCACAGTCCCACAGGTTCAACACCAGGTTTCCCAGAAATCGAACATGGGAATGTTCTACATCAACTGGAAGATAAATATGACAAATCTAGTAATTGTACCGTGCGAGGTTAAATTCAAAATAAGCAAAGCACTAAGCCCCGGAATTTAGAAGGACCAAAGTGGAGTGAAATGCTCAAAGCCACAAGAAGGTGATTTTCAGCTTAGTAGTGTGGTTTAGTGGCAAGGTGGGCACCCAAACTACCCTGAGCTACAGAACTAGCTCTCATGTAAGTCGTTTTACTTTTTAGTAGTTTAGTGCTTAGAGCAGAAACAACCTCCAATTATAATACTAATGTTAAAATTTCAACATGTAAGACAGAGACATATACCATTTAATAGCTCTTCCCTGACCCACCTGCCCCTACCAACGCCCTCCACACACAAAAAAAATGTAAACACCAAAAAAAAAAAAAAAACAAAAAACATACAACATAACCATATTCACGCCCTCTATTGATTTCCTTATTATGGTTACTGACCCAACCATTTTCACATTGCGGGGGAGGGGGGGGTTGTTTTCTACTCCTCTGTCCACATTCAATTCATTGCTATTCCTTTGTAATCTTCTTGTTTTACAACCTGCCACTAACATTAAGGAAGATCCTTCCCTTCTCAAGCCTACACAACTACAATAGCTCCATAATTACCTTCCACCAGGAAGCCTTACCCACTTTATTTCATCCTATAGGCTATTGCCAGGTTCATCTTCTTAACACTACTTTGAACATATCACTCCCCATTCAAAAAACCTTCAATGGCTCCTATATGTCTATATGGGGACATTCAAGGTCCTTCAGAATTTGGCTTCCAATCTACCTTTACATTCCCCAATGATGCACATTAATAATGCCTTTTGCTGCAGTCCAATTTGGTTTATTCATACTCCTCCCAAATCCCACTACCTCCCCAACCCCCAACATACCTCTCATCAGGGGTCGCAAACTTGCTAATAGGGGCCAGGCCAGTAAACGTACAAGAGCCAAGTTGATCATTTATGAAGAGTAAACATTTACTCAAGGGGACGATGGAGTGGGTGGCAGTTACTCAGCTCTAGCTCATCTGCCATGCAGGAACATGGGTTCAGGATTAACAGATATTTAAATTTTTCAATAGTAGTGGGGAATCCAGATTTTTACAGAAACATTTACATGTTGGTAACTAATTCCAATTTTTTAAAAAACAGGCCAAACTAAACACATCCACAGGCCTTATCTAGCATACAGGCTGCCTGTTTGCGACCTCTGCCTTATGCTTTCCTCCCACTCCCTCTGTACTTTGCCTATTCTGTCCATATGCCTAGAAAGTCCTCCCCACCTTTCTTTCAGAGTTTGATTCATCTTTTAAGACCCAACTAAAATCCCACCTCCTCTAAAAGCCCTACCTGGCCACCCCCACTTACCGTCATCACTCCCTCTGAATTCATTCAAACATTTATTAAGCATCTACTCTCTGCCAGGCACTAAAAGTCACAAGGAAGAAAGGTAAAAATTCTTATCCTAGAAATTTCTCAAAGTCTAGCAACTATCACCATTGTTATTTATGTGATAGTCAATCAATCACACAGTGGTGTTTCTTCTATGACTATCTTGAAGCTGTTGCTTAAACTGACTGCTAACTTTTGTGTAATTTTACATTCTCATAAACTAGATTATAAGCAGCAAAACATTGTTTTTTTAAAATGGGCATTGGAGTCAAACAGTTCTCAATTCAAATACCAGCTCTACCTCTCTGTGTGACCTTGGACAAGTCACTTAACCTCTAAGTATAAGTTTCTTCTACTATTTATAAACCTGGGAGACATACTACTGACCTCACAGGATTACTGTGAGGATTAAAGGAGTTATTGTACATGAAGTGCCTGGCACGTAGTAGGTGCTCAAACTACTTCCCTTCTCCCCTTTACTTCCCCCTCCTTGGAAAAGGAATCATATCTTACATGTCCTTGTATTTCCAACAGAGTCTACGAGAGAGTAGGTGCTCAAACTGCTATTAATTTGAAGACTATGTAAACGGTCTAGTACTAAAAAAAAATGGAAAGAAGTGCTACTGAGAAAGGGAAAGACAATAACAAAAGAAGTGACAGGATTCAGTGACTGTTTAGATATGGAGCACATGGAATAAAAATCTGGTTTCTATTCCCATATCACAGATATTGTTCTCATTAAGTGACCAAATGGCCCCATTGCCAAATCTGGTGGACTTTTTAGTCCTTGTCTTACTTTCTATAGTATGACACTGTTGACTACTCTCTTCTCAAAAAATTCTCTTCTCTCGGCCTCTGATGTCACACCTACAGCCTCTCTGGCAGATCCTCCTTCACAGGCTCCTATTCTTCTTTCTGTCCCCTAAATGTTAGAGTTCTTCAGGACTCCATCTCTGGCCACCTACTCTTCTATGTATTCTTCTCTTAGGCAAGCTAATCTGCTCATATTATTTTATTTACCGTTTGGATACTGATAACTCATAAATAGGTATGTCTAATACAGACTTCTCTCCTCCCTTTCTGAATCATATATTGGACATCTTCACTTGAATAAACCACAAGTATCCCAAACTTAATGTATGCAAATATAACTCATAATCTCCCTATTCTTCCCACAAAATCTATTCCTCTCTCAGTATTCTCCATCTCAGTGAATTTAACCAGTTGCCTTAGCCAAAACCTTAGTTTCATCCTTGAGTCCACTCTTTCTCCACCATTCCCTCCAAACCTATCAGCAAGTCCTATTGACTCTACCTGTTATATATATATATATATATATATCACAAATCCATTTACTTCTCACCATTATCTATGACCACCACCCTAACCCAAGTTAAACCTCCATAACATTTACCTTGTCTTTTAAAATACTTTCCTAATTTGCTAACTTGTTTCTACCCTTTGTCTCCCCTCTAATCTATCCTCCATATTATAGATATAATGGTCTCTCCAAAATGTAGATTTTATTCCAGTTTTCTTTAAAAAGAAAAACCATATCTTGTATGTGTATATCTCTGTATATGTACGATTGTATAGACCTAGGGAAAAAAGGCTCAAGAATAAGGAAAGGAATAGACTTTCTACACTTCTATGATATTTGAATTTTTTACAAGTATTATACTCTTGTCATTAAAGTTGAAAAATAACAATAATAAAATATGACTGTGTTATTTTTC